CCTACAGGTGTTGGCTATTTGTTTGAATTCTTCTTTGGTGATTTCTCCCTTTTCCACTTCTTGTGCATGTCTCTTTTGTGTCTTAGCACAGTTAGAAGTTCTTTGGACATCCATTCTGGCTTCTTTGCACTTGTCCTATTTTTTCTCTTTGTTGACACGGTTTGCAATTGCGCCTTGAGTATTTCACTCTTGAGAAATTCCCATCCATCCGTAACTCCCTTGTCTTTTAGTATCTGTGTCCACGGAATGCTGCTCAGCGTTTCCTTCATTGTTTGGAAATCAGCTCTCCTAAAGTCCAAAATGCGGGTTTGACTTGTCTTAGTTTCGGCCTTCCTTTGTACCTCAAATTGCAGGAGCACATGGTCACTTGCCCCTAAGGATCCTACCACTTCGACCGCATCGATCAGGTCCTCCGCATTTGTTAGGATGAGATCAAGAGTAGCCAATCCCCTTGTTGCCTCTTCTACCTTCTGGACCATGAAATTGTCTGCAAGGCAAGCGAGGAATTTGTTGGACCTTGTACTCTTGGCCGAGTTTGTTTTCCAGCAAATATCGGGATAGTTGAAATCGCCCATGACTACTACATCTCTTCTCTGTGCCTGTTTGGTCAACTGTTGGCAGAAGACTTCATCAAGTTCTTCCTCCTGGCTTGGGGGTCTGTAGTAGACGCCTACAACGACATCTTTTTGAGTCCCAGTTCCCTTGATTCTTATCCAGATGATTTCAAGCTGGTTTCCCATATTGCTGTCTTGAATCTCTTCTGCAGCATAAGAGTTTTTGACATATAAGGCTACTCCGCCTCCTCTCCCCTTTGTTCGGTTTCTGTGAAAGAGGTTATACCCCTCGATATCTACATTCCAGCGATAGGAGTCATCCCACCAGGTTTCAGTGATCCCTATGATATCATATTTGTGGTGTTGTGCTAAAAGTTGGAGTTCGTCTTGTTTATTTCCCATGCTCTGTGCATTAGTGTAAAGACATGTGAGCCCCTGAGATCTTCCCTTGAGCTGTTTAATTGGGATTATTGTGCTTTTGGTACTTGGTCCTTGTTGTGTTTGTGCAGCCCTCCGTTTAGCCTTCTGGCGATTCCCAGATATCTGACCCCAGGTTTTCTGTTTATCCCAGATTATCTGGCAGTGCGGACTCAAATAACCCTGTTTAAAGTAGAAAACCTGGGATCAGATCCTGCGATATAGGGCCTACCTCCACACTGCCATATAATCCAGTTCAATGTGAATTTTATACAGCTGTGTGGAAGGGGCCAGAGAGGTAGTAATGATGCAAAGTCATATGAAAAATTCCATGACCAGGAAAGGGTTTGGATATGGCAGTCTCTATATCACATTCAGCCTTGTAAACATTATACTCTTTCTCGCAGATCATTGGTTAGTATTTTTAAAATGATATCAAGGTTGACACATAGGCAGTAGAAAAAAAATTAACATTTAATGTGCTAAATTTAAATAATGTAAAATACAAATTTTAATGACATGCATGATAAGCATAGTTTCTATAGGGTGCAAATTAGATGCACAGATTTCAGGAACTGAAATATGACAGTCATATCTGGAAGCAGACATAGTTCCTGGCAGCAGGAGTGTTTGGGGGCAACAATTACCACCAGACCTCCCAAAGAGGGATGACGGGAGAGCAGTCCAAGATCATCTGGCTGGCCACAAGTGTCCAACATACATCATTCAAGAAATACTTCAGCCCTCAAGAGAAACTTTGAAATGCTCAGTGTGTGAACATCTTCAGGTTAATATATCTCAAAATCTCAGACATGGTTTTGTTATAATTTGTTGGCAACTTACAACAGCACTCAAATGTCACCAACAAATGTCTCAGGGTCCTTCCACAGAGCTGAATAAAATCCCACATTTTCTGGTATGAACTGGAACAGTGGGCTCAGTTCAAAGCAGATCTTGTGGGATTTTCTGCCTTGATATTCTGGGTTACATGGCTGTGTGGAAGGGCCCTTAGACTAATTTGGATAACCTCTTTTATTATCATTTATAAACAGCAAATGAGCTGAGAAGTGTTTTAAGCCCCGTATCCATGCCATATAAAATCCAGATTACCTGCTTTGAACTGCAGTGCACACTCATATAACCCAATTCAAAGCAGATAATGTGAATTGTCTGCTTTGATAATCAGAATGATATGGCAGTGTAGAAGGGGCCTTAGCCAAATATGCATAATGACGAAACAAAAAGAGTGGGACTTGAATCCAGATATTTCTCTTCCAAGTTTTTATATTCTAGACCACTTTGCATTTCCGTTTACTATGGAGCTTGAATAGTTCCAAGGCACCCATGTCCTCGTCAAAATGATTATATTTCACACACACACACACACACACACACACACACGTGAATATATATATATATATATATATATATATATATATATATATATATATTCTTTTTCATTTACTACCCGTATTTTCTGGCATGTAATTTGACTGGGCATATAAGATGACCCCCAACTTTTCCAGTTAATATAGATAGATAGATAGATAGATAGATAGATAGATAGATATGGATATACTTGCCGTATAAGACTACCCCTCTTCCAATGCACACCAAATAAAAAATTGAAAAACATCAGATTTAATTACAATATAGTAATTTCCCTATTGCCTTACCTTCTTCTTTGCCTCTCAGATCTCGTACCTGTGCACCTGCACCGCTTCACTGCAGTCCTTAGGAGCGAGATCTGAGAGGCAGAGAAGCAGGCATGGTAATAGGATACAAGGGTGGGCCAGACGGGTAAAGACGGGCATGTTTTTCTGGGCACAGCGCCACTCTATCTTTTTTTCCCATACCCCGCGGATCCGGGACACCTGCAGCTTGTTCTACCCTTCACTTACACCTTCCCAGTAAGGCGCCCCCTCACTTTGTCATCGGGACCATGTTAAGTCACTTATTTCCACAAATCCTGGTGAGTGGATTTTCTTCTACCGTGCTTATACAGCACCACTCTTGCTGCTTTCATACGGTTGCCGCATACAGCGGGGATGCGGCCACGGCCTTTTTTAGCTCCCCGCACCATATGTGGCGACCGCAGATTCTCCAGTCTGGCTCGGAAGTTTCAGCACCCACCCTATAAGACAACATCCAGCGTATAAGACAACCCCCGACTTTTGAGAAGATTATGCTGGGTTAAAAAGTAGTCTTATACACCAGAAAATACAGTAATTTCTCCCGGAAGATATTTTTTAATAATGCTATATTTTACAAGCACCGACTTACAAGGTAGTTGACAGAATACAGGCTTCTCCAGTTTTCTTCCATAGAATAGTAGACAGGGAAATAATACAAAAGCTGGTTTATTTCCTGGTGTATTTCTTTGGCTCTCTGCACTTGGAGAATTGTATTCCTTGAAGTCCTGCTCAAAGTATTTTAAAAGTAAGTAGAATTAAATAAAGTAATGCATATTCTTCATACTGTGGAGGCATCAAAGTATTGTTGCAATATTGTTGCAATATTATCTGTATCTATCCTTTCATGATGAATTGTAGCAATGGGTTTTGGTCTCTAGTGTTCTTCTGCTAACTTATATTTCACTTCATGATCTTCTCTTTTATCTTTTCTAGTGTATCCTGTGCATGCATGCTTGCATTCTTTCTTGCATTGGTCAAAGTGGTTGCCGATTAATATGCACATGTCATGGTGGTCAGTGCAGAGTTAGGACATGAATGGGAATTATGTAGCTCTCCAGTGTTTTAAATGGCAACTCTAACCAACACAAGAATGTGATGAAGGGGGACTTCATGTTTCCCACCCCTGTCTCAGGAGATACTGGCCACAAAAGAGAGAGTGAAAAAGACAAAACAAAGTGTTAAAGTGGATTTAAATGTGTCATGCTTTCTGATTGAGCCTAGATTTCTGACGCATTGTGTTGCTAGATCTTTTAGTTTCATTCTACACATAATTGGAAACCTAGATGTGCAGTCTGGGGTTTATGGGACCTGTAGTCCAATAATATCTGAGGTCTTAAGGCTAGAAACCACTCATATCTTACACTAGCTGAAATTAATACGAGGGTAACTCCAAAAGTAATATACAACATTTTGTAAAAATTGAAATTTGGGACAAAGCAAGAAAACTCTGCTTTGTACCAAATTACTTAGACATCTGGAAAGACCCGGGTCTTTCAAGTTGTGGGTGCTGTGTGGATTGGGCCCTGGGATCACGTCTTGAGACTTTTGATCTCAATCCACACAGCTGTTGGGATTTTTGGGCTCCTGGAGTAAAAAAACAAAACAAAACCCAAGACAGTTCCCACCCTTACCCAAAACCCTTTAAAAAGCCTTTTAAAAAGAAAATTACTTACCCAGCTGTCATTGCCATGGTGCTGGAGCTGTCCTGGCACATAGAAATGATGTGCCAGGAGAAGAGGGGAAGAGAAAACTCACACCTTACCCCCTTCTCCTGGCACATCATTTCTACGTGCCAGGAGAGCTCCAGCAATGTGGTAATGCCAGACAGGTAAGCTATTTTCTTTTCTGGGGGGAGGGGTTTATTGTGTCCGGCTGGACCCTCCCCCCCCCAAGAAAGTGCGGGTTTTGGGGGGAAATATGTAGACTTAAACCTGATTAGGCACAGGTTAAAGTCCTGTGTGGAATTGCCCTAAGAATGGCAATTGAAAATGCTTGCCTCCTCTAGGAATGATTTTTGCTCTTCAAAGATTTAGAGAGTGCAGAGGACATACTTTTCTCATCCCATATGTAATGTTTGAATACAATCGATTTTTGGTTTTTCTCTAAGTCTTTGTTGCAATGCACATTTAATATATAGTTTTGTGCCACACATGCATGAATAGAGGTAAAAAGGACATGCTGGAACATGCCAACAAAGATGAACAATGCTTTACAATAAACTGGTTCTGGATTCAGGAAATCGATAACATGATTTGACGAAGACTGTACCATCTTACTGTGTGATTTCTTTTAGCAAATCAGGCAGCAGTGGGAAGCCAGTCAGAACATGCTCCTAATAGTTCCATTGGGACTGAAACTCTCTAATCTTTCTCCATGTTGTAGCCATCACGCTCAATATGACATAAATCATGAAGTTTTGCTAGATCTGTGAGGCATTTCCAGCCTCTTCCGAGAGAGAGCAAAAAACGTTTAACAGATACAGTCAATAATCTCAGGAGTAGAGAAAAGATCTGGTCAGATGGGACATACTCATGGGTTTGGGGGAATGAGATATAGTTTGTTGCCTTAGATTCTCAAATAATTTACATCTGTTTCTTTGCCAGTCAGATTTGTTCTGCCAACACAGATGCAATCTACATAACTGACATTCTCTTTCTCCTGTCGGCGACTGTTTTTTTTCTGTTCTGCTCATTACTCTGGGAGATCATAAATCCCCCCAACTAGATTTTCCAAGACAGACACACTTCTAATCACTACACTGGATGATATCTGGTAAGTAATACTAATGAGACATACTTATGTATTTATTAGAAGATTATTCTATTTCAAAGTTTCCACTTTTTTCCTAATTTATGCTTCCCTCTGGATAATTTATTTTGCTTGTATGTCCCTGTGCCCTCTCTCTTTTTGCTTTTCTGAATTTCTCATTTGTTTACTATTTGTAATCTGAGTGTTGTCCATTTTGCTAGAATCTTCATGAAAAAGGCCAAAAGTACTAGTTTTCTAGGCAAGGAGTTTTCCCAAGACAAGAAAACAATACAAGGAGACATATTTTCTTTTAAGCATATTGTAAAAAGAGCAATAAGGTGTACTACTTTAAAATCGGGAAAGTTGAGGTGTCTACATCTTTCCTGAGATTTCTGTCTATGATTTTGGTTATTTATTAATCTGATTTTGGGATTAGATAAATGGGCTTTGGTTTTAAATAACATGAAAGCTACTGTTTTCTTTTCAAAATTGTTTCTTTTAAAAACATTCTTAACTTTTAGTACTAGAGATTTATGAAGGTTGGGGAAGAAACCCCAAAAATGTGTGATGTCATTTGTAATACTCAGCTAACATGCATTTTCATTTCCTGCACTTATGATTCTTAGCTCCAACAGCCCATTTATTATTTATATTTGGTATCCATAAGGTTCCTCACTCACAACATCTCTTCACATACTTCAGCTATTCATGCATAAATGCACACATTATATTATTACTGGTAGTCGTAGATGCATATGATTTTCTTTAAATTTCTTTTCTTCCTTCCTGTTAATATCCCTGTAATACCTCAATATTTATTGTATTTACACCAGAATCACTGGATATTACTTAATGCTTTTGAAGGAATAAGCTGCAAACATCAAAAAATGTATTAGCCACAAAGTCTTTCTTCCTATCTTTTCTTCCTTACGATTCAATAGAGCTGATTCTCTCTCATGTTTACTCTGCCCTTCAGAAAAAGAGGGAGGGAGAGGGAGAGGGGAAAGGAATATGGCAGCACCTTTATGGACCTCATCACATTGAGGTAGAAATGGTGGTCAATAGCAGGGGATTCGCCATGCGGTGGGGGGAAATCGTCACCCCACATTGCCCCACATTGCCCCCCTTGGGGGGAAGCTTTGCCATCCAGCTTCCCTCCGTGCTCTCCCTGTTCTTCTCAATGGGAACACAGGAAGCCTCCCAGGTTGTCTTTTCCACATCCTAGGACGCTTGCAGCCCCATTGGAAGTAGCCCTATGTCATCTGATGGGCTCTGGTAGGCTTCATGCTTAAAGCAGCCTGCAAGCGTCCTAGGACGTTTAAAATTGTTAATGTAATGAAGTCCTAAGACTACCTGATTTTATTTTAGCATTTAGCATCCATGTCTGCAGAGGGATATTAAAGCTGGGATACAGTTCTAGAATTAGGATAGAAAGTAATAGTATCCAGAAGATGCAAATCATGTCCCTTAAACTAAATTTTCAAAAAGCTGGGTAAAGTGATACAGATCTGTCAGTCTTTACAGCAGTCTGTTAGTGCTGATGTTCAAAGGCAATTCATCTGCTCACAAAAAGTCAGTTTCCTTGAGTTCAAAACTCTCCAAGAAGTTTCCTTTTGTTATATGTGCAGGAGCAAGGACCCTTGTATGGATACACGTTATACACCATGAAGTCATTCTCTTTGTCCATACCTCAACGGGCATCCTCAAACTGCGGCCCTCCAGCTGTTTGGGCCTCCAACTCCCAGAAGCCCCAACGAACTTGTTCAATTGTCAGGAATTCTAGGAGTTGAAGGCCCAAACAGCTGGAGGGCCACAGTTTGAGGATGGCTGGATTAGAATTTGTGAATATAGCTCAATTCAGCTGTTTCTGTTTCTAATCTCCCTTTATAATTGCCTTGCTCAAGAATCCGACCTGTCAGTCCCATACTATGTGTCTAGGCAGGTTAAAGTGTTCTGCAATTGGGTTTTGAGTGTTGCCATTTATATCAGATTTGTGTTCCAATTATCCTCTTGCATAAAGACCATCCTACTTGTCCAGTGTAGAAGTGCATTGCTTGCAAGGGGTACCATAGAAAACACTGGAGAAAAAAGCAACAACAAATAAACACACCTCTAAACATGGCTACTTCTGTGAAAACTCCACAACTCAAACTCTTCAACCTCACACCCAATGTGATGACAATATATTGGTGGAGAGCAGAATGAATTGTGTTTTCAGTTTTTCTTCCTATCTGAAAATACATACACAGTGATGGGATGAATTTCCAATCTGTACTTGCAGCAGCGATGGAGTGTGGGAGTTACAGATTAATAAAGTTTTTCTTAACTTCAGTTTTATTTCTTAAGAACATCAGAGAATGCAGTATTCCTTGAAGAAACATCAGTAATACATGGAGCTGATGGTTTGCCAAGTGATTTGTATCTTACACGACAATCCCAATATGAACAAAACTGTTTGATTTGTATGATTTTTTTCCCGCTAGGGATAAAGAGAGAAGCTAAACTAACAGTGTCTTCCTTTTTTGGTGTTGCTTAAGGAGTTCCTCCTTCTGGTATGCATCTGTGCAAGACTCCGTGGTTTTTCTCTTCTTTTTCTTTTGTATTACTCAATTTATTTAACTTTTCATGAGAAAAACTACAACCTTTATTCACTGGGTGTTTATTAGGAAGTAAATCCATACTCTCAATTTATGATTGCAGTTCTAATTTCATGATTAGAAAAGTAATCCTGCAGGAGTAGACTGACTGTTTTCTGCTTCATTATAAAAACATCCCCCCACCCCCCAAAAAGCAGAAATTGTAACATATAAGAATTAGAGACTTCCTTGCACTCTGCAGGGGCAAAATACATAGCCTGACAGTGCGTTCTTCCTCACTAATAGAATTTTGTCATCTTGATCATATTCTGGATGTTGCTTGGCCACACACAACTTGGTTTTCATCTCTGAAATATTGGAAGGTTGGGTTGTATTTTTGTTAAAGCTGCCTTGAGTCCTAATCTTAGAAAAAAAGAAGTCAGGGAGCTGGGTAAAATTTTATTGACTCTAACATGAACACAAGGACAACAATAAACTCCTATATTCTTTGACAATTGAGTCCAGCACAGTTTGATAATAAAGACATTATCTCACACATTTATTATTTTTAAAGCAATTAAATACATACCTTACCTATATTAATAATGCTGAAAGTTTAAATACTTCAACGTTGACTTGGATAATGGGGCTCGAGTAATCTTTATCAAGTTTGTAGGTAACATAAAGCCAGGAGGAATGATTGAAACATTGGAATACATTCAAAAAGGCCTAAACTAGAACATTGGGTAGAAATTAATAAAATAAAATTCAACATAAATTAATGCAAAGCTGTACATTTAGGCCAGATAAAACAAATGCACAATGGAAAGATAGGGGATGCATAGTTAATTAGTGTTACATGCGGGGGAAACTTTGGCTGAACATGAACCAGCAGTATCATGCATAGCAAGATGGTGAGTACTATTTTATTCTGCATGAATTGAATTCTAGTTTCCACATCAAGGGAAATAATAGTCCTCTTATTTTCTGCATTGGTGAGGCTTCATCTGGAGTACCACATTCACTTCTGGGCTCCTCATTTTAATAAGGATATAGACATGTTGGGGTTGGTTCAGAAAAGGGCAACAAGGATGAGAAGTGGAATGGAGAACAAAACATATGACAATAAGTTAAAGGAGCTGGGCTTTTTCAGTTTGGTGATGAAAAGATTGAGTTATAAGAAGATTGTGCTCTTTAACTATCCCAGGAACTATGACAGAGAGGAGGCGACAGGGCTATTCTCTCTTACACTGGCCGGTTGGACCAGATCTAACAGTTTGAATTTTATAGGAGAGTACATTTTGATTGGACATTAGAAGGAATATCTTGATAGTAAGAGCAGTTTGGAGATAAAATTGGTTGGCTCAAGGTGGTAGGGTGTATTTCTCTGGATGTCTTCAAAATGAGGCTGGGCAGCTATGTAATAGGGATGCTTTGCCCTCTTCTTGTGGTATTTAAAATTTACTATATAAATTGCTCCACATTGGGACCTGTGTACAATCAATTAAATGTTTTAATAAACTTATTTAAACTTTTACAAATTACAATAAAATAATTACAGCAATACTTATTTTCAAGTCAGAAAAATGATTATTCAGAATGAAAGGTCTGGAGAACGCTCGTGCCAAACATCAATCCAAAAGGCTTCCCAGAGGATGGGAAATAGAGGGAAACTCCCCTTTTCCCAAGCCTCCTATGAGGAGCTCAATTTTTAGTTTAAGCAAAACTGATTGTACAAGCCAAAAGTTCTGTTAAAGGCTTCACACTTCAAACACAAAAGGATCTTAGTATTATCAGCTTGAGATTTAATTTGGCAAAGATCATCCCTGATACTTTTAATTTGTGTTTTCTATGACACTGGCATCAGAACATCTCTGCTGGATATCTTTCTGCTTGCTTTCGGGCAAATTAGGTATGCTTCCCTAAAACCTTTTCTTTGGCTCTCAGTTCCCACCCCACCCAGCAATGCCCTAACTGTCACTTCAATTATAAAGAATGATCTTTGTATATAAATGGCTTCCAAATTGAGGTGATAGAGAGAATCCCTATGGAATGATACAAATCTGGCCCCCAGTTTGGGGTCATAGATTTCTCACATTGAAAATAGTAGCATTTCTCAGAGAAGGTTGGGAAATCACTGTTGGAATGAAAAGCTGGAGAAATAATTTCCTTTTTTGGCCTTAGGAGGCAAGACAAAATGTCTCTCTTTGCATGCTGAAATCCACAACTGACATGCCTAATTATTGGGGTGTTATGTGGTTTCCGGGCTGTATGGCCGTGTTCTAGCATTATTTTCTCTTGACATTTCTCCTGCAACTGTGGCTGGCATCTTCAGAGGATGCCTAATTATTCTGTAATTCTGCTATAACTGTAATTACTAATTACAGTAATATCACTATGGTTGTTACAAAGTTTAGGAATTGTTGTGTTTCTTTAAGTAATTTCCAAACTATGGGCGATCGCTCTCAGCATCCATCAGTATAGGCCATGTTGACTATATCTGCTAGGAGTCGCAATTCAACAACATATGAAAAACTCTATTATTCCTGTGTTTAAAATGATTATTTGTTGCTGAGTTTCTCCCTTTTATTGTTCCATCAGCCTTGCATACAGCATTGCTACTTAACCATGGGTCCTCTAACCATGGGTCCTCTAAGCTCAATGTTAGGGTCCCGAAAGATTTGGCCACAGTAAAAGTGTTCTGAATATCATCTAGTGGCTGTTCAGACATTTACACAAATCTTTTGTGCAGCATTTACATTTACATTGTGTTGCAACAGTGGACTGCAGAAGATGCTTCAGCTATACTTCATAAAAAAGAAAATTGGCCTATTTAGCTGGCTTTTCAAATGGTGATTTATTACATTATGTAGCAAAATTCAAAAAAAAATCTGTTCCTGATTTGAAAGTGTTGTTTCCTGTTCCACAATTACTTTGAAAATAGTTGTTATACTCCAGAAACCCAGAGTATAACTACATCATTTTGTAATTTTCCTTCATGAAAATATGAAATTTCTAATCTTTCAATGTGCAAAGTTTTTGCTATTTAATAAACTTTTCCCATGTTTTTTATGATACAACCAATTAGGAAATTACATTTATAACCCAGGAACAAAAATTGTGTTACATCATGTTATCAGTAAATGCTTTATTTGTATATCTATTATATACCCAGGCCACATAAAATTATTTCAGTCAAAAAGCACCCCGAAGAATCCCTGGTATACAGTACAACTCTCATACCTATGGAGAATAATTCCTGAACTTGCTGTGGAAACAGGAAAATGTGGATAATTGAACCCTTTTGAAACAAACTTCCACTGAAAATTACCATAGAATCATGATGGAGGACCTAGCAAATCTCTAGAGAGTTATCCTGTATGGGAATTTGTCAGCATCGCACTATGGTAACTTCTGGTGGAAATATAAGTTCAAATATAAGTGGCGGCATATAAGTTCAAATAAATAAATAAATAAATAAATAAATATACCTTAGAAATGCCTGGGGGATCTAGAAGGGCACACATTTTATTGAATGTAGGTAAGTGAATCCCCAGTTTCCATGGTATTCCATGGATACAGGGGTAATGCTGTGTTACATTTCCTACTTTTGGAATCACATTATTAAAAATCCAGTAAGTATATCCACACACAAGGTATAATGCACACTCCAGTTTATCAAGGGGTCCAAAGCTTCAGGCCTTCCAGAACTGATCTGGGCTTGGTGTTCTTTGGAAAGAGCATAGCAGAGGTTTACTAGAGTGCTTGTATAGTTACAAAAAAAATTGGCAGAAATATTTATCTATTTTTCTTGTAAGGGGAGGTTCACAGCTTTACACAGGTGAGCTTGTATTTTGCTCCCACACCAAACTTTCAGGAATACAGTTTGGCTAGAAGATTTTCACAAAGGACAACTCTTGTTTCCTTCGCCTTCTCTATGTGTTTCTGCCTGAATGCAGTGGTGATACTCAGATCCTAAAATATAATCTCCGCTCCACAAAAGTTGCTCAAAACCAGATATGGGGGTCATATTGTAGTCCCAGACCTGCTCTACCTAAATCAAAAAGGGTGCTCATACATTATAATAGCTTTACTATCACACTGTGCGTACAGTTCTTTGTGAGAATCTGTCTGTGTTTCTTCTTGGATCGTACTCGTACACTAATCAACAAAATTGTAAAATTGCAAGTTTCCTGTCTACATTATTTTATCACTCTTAAGTTTTTTTCTACTAGCTTCTAAATTTTAATGCAACTTGAAAGTTTAAATCTAACCCTCTCTTCCCCAAGAAACATCATCATTCCTGGGAGGATAAGTGGAGATCTGAAAGCCTGGTGAGGGAGGGGGAAAAGAGAGGAAATACATAGTTTTGTGCAAGAAGACTTGTTGTTTTCGTCATGTGCACCATTACTTTTGCTGACATCTCCAGAATATACAATTGTTATTATTTTAATTGTTATGAAAAATGTTGGTTTATTGCCCCCAAAAACCCTAGAGCTTTTTAAACAATTAGTAACAGATTTGATCAATAATACTTTTTTGAAAACCACAATAATTACACAAATTTTCAAAAGAATGTTTAAATTGTTGTCATAAAACCCTTTCTTACTGAAAGTGCAAAAAATCTCATTTTTATTTAGATGAAGCCCACTCTTATTACATTGATTATTCAACCCATCTGCAAGTTTTCCCTTCCATAGGATTGCCCCATCTGTTCTAAGAATACCTTTCAAAGTTGCACTAAGAAGGGATTTTCATCTGGTGTTCCTTGTCACCTGGCAAGCAACACTTGCTGAAATTATCTTTTCTAGGCAACCATTAAAGAGTCCTTTCCAATTTGCAATCTGGAAACTTTGAGGCTCTATAATTTGATATATGATAAGCCTTGACATATAGCAGGATGAAGCAACTTGAGAGGAGATAGAAGCACTGGAAGTGTACATCAATCTTATTAAAGTATTAGTACAAGGGTGAGAATCATATGACCTCAGGGGCATACACATGGCTTTGGAAGTCAAGTGCAGATGGCTACAGATCAATCTAAGCCCACACCTCTCCAAAAATGATTGGTTCTCAAATTCACTCCCTGTTCTGCTCAAAAATATTTGAAATGTGTGCTTAAAGAGTGTTTCACTCCCCCCACTATCCCCTGCCTGCCCGCCACTATCACAAAAAGACCCTAAAGGCCATTGAGAGTGATGCCACAAGATATCACTTCTGGTTGCCCAAAATAATGATGCTCTGCTTTGAGCATCAAAGTGGTTCAGGCTGCACCATCTCTTTGAATTTTCCCAATCTGTATATTCTATATCTCTTATTGTCTTATAATCTCATTCAGAGCCTCCGGTGGCGCAGTGGGTTAAACCCCTGTGCCGGCAGGACTGAAGACCGACAGGTCGCAGGTTCGACTCTGGGGAGAGGTGTATGAGCTCCCTTTATCAGCTCCAGCTCCTCATGTGGGGACATGAGAGAAGCCTCCCACAAGAATGATAAAAACATCAAATCATCCAGGCGTCCCCTGGGCAACGTCCTTGCAGACGGCCAATTCTCTCACACCAGAAGCGACTTGCAGTTTCTCAAGTCGCTCCTGATATGACAATAATAATAATAATAATATTAATAATAATAATAATCTCATTCAGCTAGATAGAAAAGGCAAGCAATGTGAAAACAGACAGCTTCTTCCACAAGCAGCACACTGCAGTCAATTAAGGGTCAATTAAACTGGACCCTTTCCCAAAATGAAGTTTTCTCTGCCTTCTCCCTGGGGTCTCTCTGTACACATTTCATACATATTTCTTATTAGACTGGACCTTCCAAAACTTTATTATATGCAGTACCAATACAAAGCAATCTAATTCTGGAATTATTGTCTGTTTTTACAGGAAGGGGAGAAGTATTGTGCGTACCAGACGTGTCCTGATGACTGAGACAAACTCCTTGCCTACTCGGATTCTCAATGTAACAAAGATGAATGAGACCCAAAAGTGGAATGAAACTAATAGAGATTTTAATTTTGTTACAATCTCGTCTTATGCTATTGCACCCATCACCATTTTGGGTTTAATTGGCAATGGAACTATTTTCTGGTTTCTCTGTTGTAGAATCAAAAGAACTAAATATACTGTGTATGTCCTGAATCTTGCCATTGCTGATTTCACTGTACTCTTTTCATATAATATATTTTGGGTCTTCAGCTTTATCCTGTGGGACAAATTTTCTTTTAATGATTTTTTCTGGAGTGTACTTGATATTTTGAGTATCTTTGGCTGCAGTACCAGTTTCTTCATTTTGACCGCCATTAGTGTCGAGAGATGCCTTGGTGCTTTTAATCCAATCTGCTACCACTTTAATCGCCCCAAACACCTCTCAACCATATTATGTGCTCTTCTATGGGTTCTCTCCTGTGTGGTGACTGGAATGGAATATTTCACCTGTTGGTCATACGTAGACAAAACTGACAATCCAGCTTACAAAAACTTTCCTGCTACAACCATATTCCTTACCATGGTTTTCTTGTTATTTAGTCCAGTCATGGTCCTTTGCAGTGTCAGTATGTTTATTAAGATACGGAGAAATTCACGGCCGTCATCTCAAGCCCGACTTTACCTCATCATTGTTATCACCGTTGTTCTTTTCCTCTTTTTTGCTTTGCCCCATAAGTTCATGTGTCTATTTGTCTATTGGTATCCAGCAACAGAGGTTGAATGGATTGTCTTTCACTGTTCTTCGTGCCTCCACTTAATCAACAGCAGTGCTGATCCTTTTGTTTACTTTCTTGTTGGGAGGCGGAGGCGGAGGCCTCGTGAGACACTCTATAAAGTGCTTTATAGATCCTGCAAGGATCAAGAGGAGGGACCAGTTCCAGAAAACCTAGGCAAAGAGCAAGAAGAAAGCTGAAAATCTATCATTTCAATAAAAAAAAAATATTTAGCTCTCGGATAGAGATTTAGTGTTGTGTTCTTGTTTGCTTTATACATCTGTTCTCCAGCTTGCCACGCTTAGAACCTGATGTTGTCTTCCCGGTTTTCTTCATTTATCATGACTTACTATTCTTAGATTTTAAAGACAGATCTGCCCTTATTAAAACAAAATATTAAACTCTGCAATGGACAGTTCTGTACAATAAATATAGTATGGATACTTCATTTTGTAGCTGTACAGTGTTTTCCACAATTAGAACAAGGAATCTTGTACCCCATTTAAACCAACACAGCTCTAAATTGGTTAATCTCCCTAGTCAGTGAAGGACACTCAAATACAGCACACTATCTCTTTATGTATTTCTGCAGGATTGGTGTAAAACATAAGGGCAGGCTTGAGATAAGAACATTTCCAAAACGGTTGCTTTACCAATGGTTCTTCTTATCTTTTTTTAGTGTGCTATTTTTACAGTTCCTAATGTATAGTTTCTAGATAGATACTGTAGATAGAAAGATAGATGGAAAGATGATAGATAGATAGATAGATAGATAGATAGATAGATAGATAGATAGATGTTATGTATTGTCTTCGTATACTTTATTCTTTGACATTCTAATAACACATATGAAGATAATAAGGCTGGAGAGAGTGTTGGGAGATTTTATATTTATTTTGTATTCACTTAACCACGCTGTATATTTCACCTTTGTTTAATATATGATGATATTTCATGTATTATTTTACCAGTATGCCTGTGCTTATAATGTTACAATTTTTAGGTATTATAGTTTAAACATAGGCCTATGATTTCAATATATTCTTCACAGCTTTTATGATTGTCTGTGATCTTTCACCATTTATAGTTCAATAAATGTTATGAAACTTTTAATTCGGGTGTAGATGTTTCATAAATGCACTGAAGCAAAACAAATTCATGTGGATCTTTCCATCAACATTATTGTCTGTCAAACAGGTCTGTTTACATCCATTCACTACTGATTTCAGGCACCCATTCATGTAGGGGGCAAGTATTCCTAATACGTAAGAGGGAATATATAACCTTTTGTCATCTGAATATCAAACATATGGCGACACAGGATAACCTGGAAGCACAGGCACTCTAAAAGAGAGTAGAAGAATAACATATGGACAAGAAAGAACAGTGTTCTTAGCATAATGTCAGACTTGTTGTTCATTCGTTCATTCGTTCAGCCTTCCCTTCTTCCAGTACATGCCACCAATAAGACCGATCAAGTCGGCACCCTTTAAAAAATGCAGGAGCAAGCTAAATTAAAAGGGATTCAGATCAGAGTATTGATAGTGCTTCACTGAATTACAAATAATAGTTCATGTGAGGTCATTAAAGTCTCATGTTCTGTTTGTTACATAAGGCAGCCATCATCATCTTGAGGTAGGTCATACCATTGCATCATTAGACCCCTTTATGAAGCACAAATGCATTATCAAAGAAGATTGACAAGAAACCTGGAGAGCAACCATGGTATATTCAGGGTTTTTTTATCCATTTTTAAAATTGATATGCTCAATAATTTCATAATTCTCATTTGTTAGACATACTGTTTATGGACAGACTGTTGAACAATCACTCCTGTTGGGAGCAAAGTTAAAAAAAACATCATATTTCTGTCCATCTACCTCCTGTTTCTGAAGTCTTCTCTTTCTTGTAGTTTGAAACTACAAGAAAGGAGATTCCATCTGAACATTAGGAAGAACTTGCTGACTATGAGATCCATTCAGCAGTGGAACTCTCTGCCCTGTAGTGTGGTGTAGGCTCCTTCTTTGGAAGCTTTTAAACAGAGGCTGGATGACTATCTGTCAGGGGTGCTTTGAATGCAATATTCCTGGTTCTTGGCAGGGGGTTGGACTGGGTGGCCCATGAGGTCTCTTCCAACTCTATGATTCTATGATTCTTCAGGTGTGACTGTGAAGTGTTGGTCTTGCACTCTCCTTGTTTGAGGTCTGCTGGCAAAAGGGAATTAATATCTAAGGAAGTAAATGTCAAGTCTGGGCACAGATTTCTCAAGTCGGTTACCCAGTGTCTCTTAAAAGCTAAGAACGTTTCTTAAGTCAAGAGCAACGATATTAGGCCCATGTTCCCAAAACACAAAATGGTAGATGATTAGTAGGAGATTGTGATAGTTTGAGAGGCCAAGATCCTGGCACTCAGCAGGAATGCTGCCTACAAAAAAGGTCTGCCAGCAATAAAACCAGTGATCAAACAGAAATATGCAATGAGCTTTAAAGGGGCATGTGAAGAATCTTTTGGTGTTCACAGGAAAAGAATGGTCCATCTAAAGCAGTGGTTCTTAAACTGTGGGCTGCAGACCACCAGTGGGCCACGAGGACGAAAATCTGATCCATAAGCCTCCTTCGTCTTTCTTTCTTTTCTCTTCTTTTATTTCCACTCCTTTCATACCACCTGCCACTCCTTCCCTGTCACAGACCATAGCATACGTTTTGTATCAGAAACTAGTACTGATGTGGTCTATCCAATGCAATTTCTGAATCAGCACCTTGAACCGAATCTAAAGTTGACCAAAACTGATTTGTAACCCTTTTAGTACTAATGATGGAAAGTGGTCCATGGTCAAAGTGGTCCCTAGTTAAGTAGTCTCGGGCCAAGTGGTCCGTGGTCAAAGTGGTCCCTGGTCAAGTGATTCTTGGTCAAAATGGTCCCTAGTCAAGTGGCCCCTGGTCAAAAAAAGGTTGGGAACCACTGATCTAAAGTATCCAAGAGATAGGAGTCACAGCTAGTAATGAAAAACTGTGTTCATTTTGGCAGGTTCAGAAGAATTACTGAACACCCTGACAGCTTCAAGATGGCAGAGGCATACTCCTTGTCCTTCCACACTGTTGAGGCTGTCCAAAACACTGAGACTCAAATGGAGACTGGCTACCAGTTGCAAAGGACTATTATGATTGTATCAATTCCAATCTGCACATTAGGATTACTTGGTAATGCAGTCGTCCTCTGGCTTCTGTGGTGCTTCATCCCGAAAACTAATCTCACTGTGTATTTCCTCAATAAGGCAGTTGCTGATCTTGCTGTACTCATCTACTACATAACAGTTTTCATTTTATTTTTGAAGGAAGTTCCCATCAGCCTGTTCGGTTTACATATCATGGAGCTGGCACATGGCTTTGGGTTCAATGCAAGCACTTATATCCTAACAGCTATTTGTGCTGAGAGGTTCCTCATGGTCTTTTCCCCAGCATGCTACAAGCTTAATCGGCACAAACATTTTTCCGAAATTATGTGTGCCCTTTTGTGGAGTTTGTCCTGCCTGGTGTCTGTGACATTATATTTTGCCTGCTATCTTCAACTTGATCCATTACTCACTGAAGTTAATTCGATTTGTGTGCCTACAAAAACGGCCCGAGCAATCGTCAACCTCCTTGTGTTTCTCCCTATCATGATCCTGTCTGCATTTTTCCTTTTGGTCAGAATGCTGAATAGACCACAGGGAAGCGCTCCAGAAAAGATTGACATCACCATTGTGGCCATTGTTCTGCTGTTTCTTCTCTTTGCTGCCTCAGTCAGGATCGTTGATATTGCAGTCCATTGGATCCCTCAAATACACATATCTGTGGTCTTCCTAATTTTTCATTTTCTTGATGCTATTGACAGCAGTGGGAACCCTTTTATATATTTCTGGGTTGGCTATACAAAGAATCAGGTTGATAGTGGCCGCTCCATCCAGATGTTTCTTCAGAGGGCTTTCTTGGACGATGAAAACAGGACAAGAAATGCAAGCTATGCCCGAAGATGAGAATGAAAGAGGATTTACACACAGATGGAAAAGTACATACATGGCACTGTTTGTTGGCATTCCTGTATTTTAAATAAACACATTGCAGATACTTTGTTGCTGTTAATTACTTCGAATTTATCTATCTAGGCCACTTTACCATCGTTTAGGTAGAGTAATTTCTCCAGATAAAGCAAATGTTGTTGGAGGTTGCAATATTTATAGCTGTAGTTCTTGGGTTGTTAAAATAGATTCAGACAATAATTTGGTTGTCCTGGAATATTCAGTGGCAATTCCTGGCACCAGCAGCAGCATTTTATTTCTACTCAGAAGGTGTTGGAGATTATTTAATTTCTGGAATATACTAGAACAAGGGCCTTGTGTAGTTCAGTACTTTCAGTTCATTCTTTGTTTCTAATCACTTTTCTTCCTCATTACTATGGATGGAAGGGTCAAAGAGGAAATAATTGTTACCAGAGAAGCTTCATTGCATTTACATATATGTGGTTAAGATTACTGGTCCTTTTCCATGTCAGGAGTGACTTGAGAAACTGTAAGCCGCTTCTGGTGTGAGAGAATTGGCCGTTTGCAAGGACGTTGTCCAGAGGATGCCCAGATGTTTGATGTTTGACCATCCTTGTGGGAGGCTTCTCTAATGTCCCCACATGGAGCTGGAGCTGGAGCTGACAGAGGGAGCTCAACTCACTCTCCCTGGATTCGAACCGCTAGCCTGTTGGTCAGCAGTCCTGCTGACCATTGTGCCACCGGGCCTCCTTTAAAAAGAAGACATGCCCATACTGGATCTGACGACATCCAGGGACAATAGGTCTGGAGGTATTAAAGCACAGAACAGATCTGAATATAGACCAGCCATGTTTCATACAATGTCATATGGCTTCCTTCAGTCCCACCCACCCCACTCTAGCCATCAGCTTTTATAAGGATTTTTAAAAAGTTATTATTGTTGTTTTTATTGTGATTATTTATATCCCCCTTTTTCTCTCTAAAAAGAGACCTAAAGTGATAGTGTGACAAGAGCTTGGAGAGGGGAGGTGGGCACAGAAGACAACTGACAGCCTTCAATAGTAGTTAAAGAGGTTTAAAGCTCACTTTGGGGGCAAACCAGGGGTCAGGAAGGGAAGGGTGGCATGTCCATCTCACCTCCCTGGCCTGCCTGAACCCCAGGAGCACAAGATGGTTGTGAGGACACTAACCTGGAATCACGGCTGGTGTGTCTGCTTGCACAGCCTTGAAACCTACAAAGATTTGCAGGGTTTTTTTTTTTTTAATGTGGAGAAAATTGCATTAAATGGTGTGCCATGTGTTATTCCACATTAGCCTGGGTTTTGTCACACCATGCTAATGTGATGTCTGCACTGCATTTTCAAGTGGTGGAGATGAGCCTTGAATCTCAACAGCTTTGTGATAAGGACAAACAAGAAAACAATGCATCATCAACGGAAGTTCCGATAGGGGAAAAAAGTAGGACAGCACCATGTTGAATCTCCATGGCGGGTCAGGAATCCTATCATTCCTCTCTGTACTCTCCTTTTATGCAAACATTCCAGAAGGATACTATGGCTGTTGCTGAACAGGGAATGTTAAGAGAACCAGGAATCTCAACACTATCACACATAGAGATCATCTGTCTACTAGGCAGATCATCCCTGGTCCCACCCAGAAAGCCAGAGAGAAAACAGGTAGATATCACTCTGAGCTCATGGTGTGTTTTCCCAAACTGCCAATAACAGTTGCTGGGTGGTCAGAAGATTCTCATATTCCATTTGTTACCTAGGAACACGCAATCATTGTGAAGTCAAGTAGCTCATACCTTTCTGATATGGACAGCAGAAGAATTACCAGATGACCTTGAAAAGCAACTGAAGAGGAATCATGGTGGTTGTAGTTAATATTACACTGGATCTTAGTTTTATTAATTTAAAGCTCATATTTAAGATTATATAATTTTGTTAACGAAAACCAAAGAAAGCACCTAAGGTAACTAGAAACCATCTGACTACATGTCTGTTTAAGAGACAGGTTGGCACTTCACAGACTGATAATACAGTAGGCCCTTGGTGTCCACCAGGGATTGGCCCCAGGGCCCCATGGATACCAAAGTCTGTGGATGCTCAAGTTTCATTTATACAATAGTATATGAAATGATGTCCCTTATATAAAATGGCAAAATCAAAATTTGCTTTGTCTGCTTTGTTTGGAATATTTTAAAGCCATGAATGATTGAATCTGTGGGCATGGAATCTGTAGAATATAGTGGGAAGGAGGCTTTCTCCCTTCCAAAGAAACATTTTCCTCAACTACTGAGTAGATCACTGCCGCTTCTCCGGATTATCGGTGGCTGTGGAATTGAATGGCAGTGGAAGGAAAAGTGAGAAATTCCAGAAAATTCTATCAGACCAAAACTTTGAAGTAACTAGAGTCAAGTCTAGTGACTGGAGTGTTAGACTATGACTCTGAAAAATGATCCCCAAGTTCACCATCTTTTGTGGGGCCATGTGTCATTTTAATGGGTTTTTAAATGGCTCAAAATGTCTCAAAGTGGATAATTTTGGAAATTTGTTCCCCTTGCCTTCTACAGAGTATTTATGGTCATTTTGAGGATTTTTTTTTATGGAGAGCATACAAGTGTATATGTGTGTAACCATCAAAGTCTCCCAAGGGACCAATATGGCACCCTCGCCTTCCCATTCCAGTTCTAAAACCCTAAAATACATATATTCTGGAGCAAGTATGAGCAAACGCAGACCCAGGGGGCAGATGTGGCCCCTTGGGTTCTTTTCTCAGGCCCCCTTCTCTCTCACCATCCTATCCTTCCTTCCTTCTCTCTTTCCTTCCTTCCTTCCTTCCTCCCTCTTTCCCTCCCTTCTTTCCCTCACTCTTTCTTCCTCCTTCCTTCCCTTCCCTCCATTCGTCCTTCCTTCCCTTTTTTCTCCCTCCTTCCTTCTCTCTCTTTCTCCTTCCTTCCTTCCTTCCTTCTTTCTTTCCTTCCCTTTGTCTTTCCTTCCTTCTCTCTTTCCTCTCTCCCTCCATTCCCTTCCACCCTTTCTTCTTTCTATCCTTCTCTGTTTCCTCCTTTCCTCCTGGCAGATGTTTAGCTGGGAGAAGAGAAGATTGAGAGGGAACATAACGAGATGTAGAGCCAATCTTAAGAAATGGGACTACAAAGTGGAATCCACGACATGCGAGTGTGGAGAAGAGCAAACCACTGACCACCTGCTGCAATGCAACCTGAGCCCTGCTACATGCACAATGGAGGACCTTCTTGCGGCAACACCAGAGGCACTCCAAGTGGCCAGATACTGGTCAAAGGACATTTAATCAACTACCAAACTTGCAAACTTTGTGTTTTGTCTCTTTGTTTGTTTGTTTTGTTAAAAATGTAATACAACTGTCTGGTTGCCCCTGACATGATAAATAAATAAAATAATAATAATAAGATTTGAAAGGATGTCCCATTGAGGAGGGAGAGGGAAAACTGACTTTCTGCTGCTCTAGAGACCAGGGCACAAGGGAGCAATGGTTTCAAATGACAGGGAAAAAGATTCAACTGAAAAGATTAGGAAGAACTTTCTGAGAGTAAGAGCTGTTGGAGAGTGGCATAGGCTGTCTGGGAGTGTGGTGGAGTCTCCTTCTCTAGAAGCTTTTTCGCAGAGGCTGTCTATTGCGGATGCTTTGATTGTGCCTTCCTGCATGGCAGGGGGTTGGACTGGATGGCCCTTGGGTGTCTCTTCTAGCTCTAAGATTATATATCAGTAGGCAATATTGGGTCTAATGGACATCCTTTTTCTCTCCCATCCACCATCTCATCCTAACAAAGACTAACCCTTTTGGGATCCAAACGTTTCCCGTCTTTCCTTCACTTTTTGCCTCCAAAAGAGAAGAGGAAAGGGCAGGGAGGGGACTTGGAGAGAACCCCCTCCCACCCACCCTGCTCTGGCCCACCATGAGGCCCCAAGTTAGAAAGTTTGCCCACACCTGTTCTAGAGAGACAGTCATTTTTTCCTAAACAGCAAATGAGAGTGGAATGTTACGACACAAATGTCTTTGCCTGACAGGTTGTCCTGGGTTTTCTGTCTTAATTCCACATTACGATTTTTAAACAGTAATACATTATGTTTGATTTTTGGCAGATTGAGAAGAACAATTGGACAGTGTCATGATGACAGACTCACCTGCTTCGTTTTCTGAGACCGCTGCTCTGATTAAAAAAAATTTCACACAACTCGAGACTTGGCCGAAGAGAGGCTTTTTCCTGGGATCAAAGAAAACCTATTTCCTAGAAACAGTTGTCTTCATATCTATCCCAACTTGCATTTGGGGGTGCATTGGAAATGTAATTGCCTTCTGGATTCTCTGCGCCAAGACAAAGACAACTAGGTTCACAATTTATTCCTTCAATTTGGTCATTGCTGATCTCATTGTGGTCATCTACTACCTTATGGTTTTCATTTTATTTATGACAACAATTTATGTGGATTTGTATTTTTCACGTGTAATGGAAAATCTTTATTTAATAAGCTACAACGCTAGCATCTATTTTTTAACTGTTATGGGGACTGAAAGGTTCCTCATGGTCTTTAAGCCAGTCTGTTACTATCCTCACCGACCAAAGCATATCTCAGGAATTGTATGCACCATTTTGTGGGTCTTGTCCTGCGTAGTGTCACTTGCGGTATATATGTCGTGCTTACCAAGATTCCTAGTATCTCATGATCAAAATGACCCCCTTTGTGAAGGTGCAGTTATATTTAAAATTATTGTTAATCTGTTGATTTTCTTCCCCATCCTGGTCTTTTGTACTCTGCCCCTTTTTATACGAATGCAGAGAAAAGCAAAGTTGAGACATTCTGAGAAGCTTGATGTCACCATCACGGCCATCACCATTCTGTACCTTTTATTAGTTTTTCCAATTAGAATTGTTGAGGTCATAGCCTACTGGGACTCAAGACTTGATGCACCAGTCCCATTTCTACTTACTTTGTTATTTGATTCCATCAAGAGCAGTGTCACTCCTTATGTGTATATCTGTGTTGGATGCTGGCATAGGTGGAGGACTGCAGTACCTATTCATGAGTTCCATGCGAGAGCTCTGGAATGTAAAGTAAAAGAGAGTGAACATCAGGCAACCAAGAAAAAATCAAATTTCAGAGTATCTTGGGACCCAGAAGTAAGTTGAAAAATTCTCTGAACTACAAATACTGGCTAGCATTTCCAGCTCCAGAATAAAAGTATTGCAGTTCATGTTACTAATGATTATTTCTAGACTGCTTCATTCACCTAAGCTCCTATGAAAGGTCAATTGTTAATCTTTTTCAGGGCATGACAGGGCCATCCAATCATTATAGTACTGTAGTTCCCAACTTGTGGTCCTGGACCACCGGTGGTCCGCAAGAACTAAAATATGGTCAGCAGCCTCACTGTTGCTATACTCTTGCAACGAAAGCGACTGGTCTTGCAAAACTCTCTTATAGTGTGAGGCTTATTAACAGATGGCGACTGCTGGGTGGCATATGTTCGGTAAACAGAAACTAGAGCTGATGTGGTCTGTCCAATGCAATTGTCTAAATCGGCACCCCAAATAACCAAATTGAATCTAAAGTTGACCAAAAACTGATTCGTATCCATTTTGGTACTAATGTTGGATAGTGGTCCCTGGTCAAGGTGGTCCCTGGTCAAGTGGTTCCTGGTCAAGTGGTCCCTGGTAAAAAAAAAGCTTGGGAACCATTTTTATAGTAGAATGATGTACTACTTTACAAATCTTTCACATTTACTTTTAAGAAGAATAAATATAATAATATGTAGAAATTATCTAAAACTGAGCAAGGATAAGACCACATGTTTTGGAGGATGACAATGAAGTGACCTCCCCAGCCAGTATGCCCATCACTGCTAAATTCTAAGAGATGTAATCTAAAAAAGTTACTTTTCCAGATTTTGGGTAGGATGATGCTCTAGGTGCCAAAGTATTATTCTGCCACTGATCAGTTATGAATAGTTTATTACCAGTATAGTCATTACTGTAGTCATTCTTTCTAAAACTAACTGCACACACTATATAGTTTTGTGAGATTAAAGACAGATGAAAGGTGTGAGCATTCTCAAAAGCTAAAGGACAATTAGAAAGCAACCACAATCAAAATGACTACTTTGACATTGCTCATATTGCTTTGCTAAAAACAACAATAAAAACGGACTTTAATCAGGCTATCTTTAAGTGTCTGCCTCTGTTGCAGATTTTATTTATTTTCTAAAATCTAATCAGAGACTAGGTTTCTCATTAGATGGGCATAACTGTTATCCTAAACTATCTGTAATGTTGCAAGTAATGGGAGAGAGAATGACAGAAGACAGAAAGGAACAAAGAAAAAAAAAGTTGCCTTGTATTTCTGGCTGGATCTATAATGTGGTTTCAGAATGCAGATTAACTGCATTGAACTGGATTATATAACAGTGTGTACTAATATAATCAAGCTCAATGCAGTTTAATCTGCACTACATGAGCCTACACTGAACATAGTTATATGGCAGTTTAGAAGGGGCCTCTGATACCTTCAAAAGACCAGGTTTGCAGCGTGATAGTGCTCTTGGACCCAGCAATGGTTCTCGAAGATTTGATGACTGATGTGGCTAGGAGTGTCTTGGCACAATTTTCTAAGAAGGCAGATTTGGCCACAGTGATCCATGTATTAATTGCCTTCCCTCTAATTTCAGAAAACACTTTCAAAGGAAGCATTCACCTTCAGATGCATCCAACAGCCCTTTTGCACAACATGATTTCACTTTAATGACCATGGCTTAGCATTTGAAATCCTGTGATTGCTAGTTTCATGAAATTTTAGAATACACTTCCAGAAATCCCTAATGCATCACTAAACTACAAATCCCAGGATTCCACTGGATGAAGCCATGACAGTTGAAGTAGTATCAAAGTGCTTTAATCAAAGTGAGAACTATAATGTGGACTGAGAATTTCATGGGGTTTTCTGGGACACACAGACCCCTTCTACACTGCCATATAATTCAGATTATCAAAGCAGATAATCCACAATTATTGTTGAAGGCTTTCATGGCTGGAATCACTGGGTTGTTGTAGGTTTTTCGGGCTATATGGCCATGTTCTAGAAGCAATCTCTCCTGACTTTTCACCTGCATCTATGGCAAGCATCCTCAGAGGTTGTGAGGTGGTCAAAGTTGCTTATGCAAGACAAAGAGACTCCCACACAGGGTTGGAGGATGAAAAATAAAGCTCTTGTTTGCAGTCTGCGCACAAAGGATTGCTTGTAAATCATCTACTAAGGAAGCACACAATCTACCTGTTTACAAGCCTTTTTAAAGTGTTCAAAGATAGACTTAGGACCTCATCATATGAGGGAGAGGAAGCAGGGAAAAGCAGAGGGAACTGTCTTCTTTCGTTCCCTAACATTGAGGTCCTGTGCCTTTCCGTCTTCTGAGATGGCAACAGATACTTGCCATCACACTTTCTTTGTCCGCCTTTCCCTGCTTCTACCTGTCTTCTTTCTCTCAATTTCCTTACGCTGCCACAATGGAGTCCCACAAACAACCAGCAGAAGTAGCCTTCTGAAATCTTATGAACAGGACATAGAAAGCAAAACAAACTCTGCAGGAGTGTCAACCCTTCCCTAATACACAGATTATGTATTGCATAGAGAAGTGCATCAATACATAATTTATTTATATTAAATTGGCCTGGAGATGGGAAACATGGCAAGCAGGCTCTCACACTCCCTAGAAGACATTAGGGCATGAAAGAAGAGACATATGCCTGTTCCAGTAATTGACAAGGTTGTTGTTGTTGATGATGATGATGATGATTACAAATCCCAGATTCCCCAATGCCAGCTAGGGAAATTTGGGAGAAGATGAAGTCCAAAAAGTACCTTTTCCTAGCTATCAGAAATGCTGGGGAGAAATTCTAGTCAACCAAATTATTTTGCATTGCTCCTAGCAAGAAGGCCATGCCTTCTGATCTGATCCTGACTTCTGATTTGAGTCTGGAGCAGTTTCCACATTACAGAAATATAGCAATTTGATGCCGCATTAACTACTATGGGTCAATGAAATAGAACTTTTGGATTTGTAGTTCTATGAGATATTTATCCTTCTCTAGCTGAGAACTCTGGTGCATCAATAAACTACAAGTTTGTGGAATCCATAGCATGGAGCCATTGGGAGTTAAAAGCGTGTCAAACTGCTATGAATTTACAGTGTGCTTGGCTTGAACTACATCTTGCTTGGCCCTTCCATTTACTCGCTGATTTGCTCTTCACACTTGGCCTAGCTGCTTCATCCTTGGTTGCTAACTTGATCTTCGACATCATGCACAGACTAATATAGCATTTTAATGGAAATGAACCCCACAAGGCAGGACTATGAATCTCATCATACTCCAGCTAACAATTGCTGTGAGGTCATGAGGTTCTCAGATTCCCTTTGTTACATAGGAAACACGCTATCATAGTGAAGGAACACATATCTTCAAAGAAGATAGTCCTGAGAGCAGAATACAGTTGACAAGGTAAGATTTATACATCTGCTTCTCATTCACCTGTACATGTGTGTCCAGCTTGCTAAGTCTGACAAGGAAAGCTCCCACAAAACATCAGGGTACAATTCATTATATATCTTCCCTAGATATCCAGTTACACCAGACAGATGACAGATAGGATCCTGCATCGGATGTAGCTTTCTGACTTCCCTTTCCCTTAACAGCCAAGCTCTGTTAGGTGGCACCAATCTGCTGCTTTGCATCTGCAGAGAAGGGAAGATTAGTCACCAGATTGTGGACACTGCTTCTCCGTCCCGTGCTGTTTGTTACACAGCAAGGCAAAGGAATGGTAGCCTTCTTACTCCTGTACTTTTCTTGTGCCCAAACTACAGCAGGACAGAGAGAGCAGTGACTGCTCAGTCAACTCCTTTTCTTCTCTGCCCCCAGAACAGCAGCCTTATGAATCTTGGCAACTGGGGGATCGAGATGCAAGAGGGGAGCGCAATACACCAAACCTTTGGTCCTCCAGGGGTTTTGGATTTCAGCTCCCAGAACTAGTTAACATGGCCAGCAGTCAGGAATTCTGCAAGTTGAAGTCCTGGGAAACATTTGGCTAGATAATAATGTATTTGCATTCAATTAAAAAAGACATAAGAAGTAGGCTTACATAAGAAGTAGGCTCCTAAATACTCTAAAGACACCAGGTTCCATCTTACCCAGGAAATACATCGGGTCAGGCCTGGAAGAGATTGTGAGGGAATTGCAGTTTCTATACATTATATCCAGAAGAAAGCAATGGCCTCTGGATAAATCTTGCCTAGAAACTAGAATAAGTCTGAAGACGGGTCAAGGGTGGGTGTCAACAAAACGGACACCCCCAACACACACTACAGTGCACCTCAAACCCAAACAACACATTAAACAACTCACCAGAAAATCCAAAATAAATCAGACAATGCATTGCTGCCAATAAGAGCATCTCCCATGCAGGGCTCAAATCTGAGACCTGTAGCTTACTTGTCGGAACAACCCTAGTGCTGAAGCACTTTAAAGAATACCGAAACACACATGGCTGGAAGGTAAATAATTACTCCTCTGGAAGAAGAAGCCATTCCCATGGGAATTGTCACTTTCCACCGTTTCCTTCTCATTTCCTGTGCCGTGCCACAGTCCAGCACTGATTCCAAATGGAAATGAATACTCACATCAGTGCAACTCAGTGGTTAGGGCAAGAAAAAAAAAATCTGCATTTCCAGAGGCTGTCTAGCCACAGATACTGCAGTTCCTGGTTTGGTTCAAATCTGTAATCAACTGATATTTTGGCCACTGTCCCAGCCTCAATTAGTTCCTGGGATGTTTCTGAAGGTGCTGTACAGTGAGGCCAGTTTGTTTAAATCCATTTCCAAACTGCTCGTATAGAAGTAATCTAAGTCGGAATCAACTTGAGTGAACATAGCCACAAATTTGATGCCCTGGCTAGAATCCAGCTATTGCTGATACTTTATTGCTGACTATTTCTTATTGCCCAGATAACTCCCTAGACCATAGTTCTCTCAAGCCCCTTCCACACAGCTCAATAAAATCTCACATTTTCTGCTTCAGACTGGAATATAAGACAGTGTGGACCCAGATAAACCAGTTCGAAGCAGATATTGTGGGATTTTTGCCTTGATATTCTGTGTTATGTGGCTGTTTGGAAGGGCCCTTAGTCCACTGGCCATAGCTGTGATCTAACAGACATGTCACACCCCAAAGATAATCAAGGCTTCTGGAGAAAATGAGCAAATGTAATGGTAGATTGTTTGAATTAGACCAGCTGCGTAGTGAAGACAGAACTCAAGGGGTTGAAGCACCATCAATTTTTAAAAAAAATCCTGACTAATGATATCACTGTTGCCCTTTCCTGGGGGCTTTTCTATTCCCTCGGTTAACTGCAGTTCTCATAAGTAGCTGAGAGAGTGGAATGGATTTTCTTAATATTATATATTTGTGATGTAGTCCTGTTGTGATGGCCATTTAAGAGAGGTAGATTTTCCTAAAAAATCATATTCCTAACTGCAATGAAAACTTGTAGACCTGGTTTGACATATATGAGTCTTCTCTCATACTCTGCTTGCTACTCTGCTTTAAAATCTTAGTGAAAGCGCATTAGGGCTGCCTCTTGACAATGTCCACAAGCAGATTTTTCTAGCCATTAAATTATTTGATTCAAGTGCAATTGGGGTGACGAGAGAAGGATCTTCTCAGTGGTGGCTCCTCAGCTATGGAACTCCCTCACCGATTAAATTAGATCAGCGCCCTCCCTCCTGGCCTTCAGAAAAAAAGTAAAAACTTGGTTATGGGACCAAGCCTTTGGGCAGTAAGCAGTACAAGCAATGATCAGGGATTATATGCAATCGATATGATATTTGGAATGGCCTGGACTACGATTGTTGGATTCTGTGATTTTAATGTTTATAGGTAAAGGTAAAGGTTTTCTCCTGACATTAAGTTCAGTCATGTCCAACTCTGGGGGTTGGTGCTCATCTCCATTTCTAAGCTGAAGAGCCAATGTTGTACATAGACACCTCCAAGGTCATGTGGCCAGCATGACTTCATGGCGCACTGTTACCTTCACTCTGGAGAAGTAGCTATTGATCTTCTCACATTTGCATGTTTTCGAACTGCTAGGTTGGCAGAAGCTGGGGCTAACAGGGGGAGCTCACACCGCTCCCCGATTCAAACCTGCAACCTTTCAGTCAGCAAGTTCAGCAGCTCAGCACTTTACCTACTGCAACACCGAGGCAGTGTTTTTAATTCCATGTTTTAATGTTAAATGTCGTATTTTATGATTTAATTGATAATTGTATGTTATTATCATTATGTTAAGTTTCTGTATGTGAGACATTAAATTTTGCCATAATTATGTTGAAAACCGCTTTGATTTCCCAGCTGGGGTGAGAAAAGCAGTATACAAGTGAAGTAAATAAATAAATTATTTAATAATGGCAGAGAACAGCCAGCTAAACAAAACAATCCTTGTTTGCAAGGATATTTATTGCTGCTTTAATTGAAGATAATGTTAGCAGGTGGATCACCTTTTAGGATCATGATCCTTACATTCTCAAAGTGGTGGTCTATGGACTAATACTGGTGTAGAGGTTATTATCTGCCAGTACACAATAAGTTTCTAGGAACAATGAACAGAAGCAGGATTTCAACCATTAAAGGTTAAAGGCCAAATATGACATGGGATATATTCATAGTTACCCGTTGTCAAAGATTTCTTTTCGAGCATAGCATCCAAATTATTCCATGTAATTCTTGGACCAATAAAACTGTCACAATCTTTTTGTGAAGCTATCAAAAGGTTAACAATTTCACTGAACAAGCTACACTTCAATTCTTTATGTGGATGACCTGATTTTAATAGTAAATGTAATTTTTATATGTTTTAATGTGCATTAATTTTAATTTTAAATTTTAACTTAAGTGTATTTTGACTGTATGTTGTCCAAAGCATTGAATAGTTCCTTATATGTAAAACCACCATGAGTCCCCTTCAGGGTAGAGAAAGACGAGAAATAAATACGGTAAATAAATAAATAAATTTTACAAGTCACATTCAATGCTTTGAATGCAATTTTCCTGCTTCTTGGCAGGGGGTTGGCCCACGAGGTTTCTTCCAACTCTATGATTCTATGATAAATAATTCATTGGCATGTCAGGAAAAAAATACATAAACTCAGATACCTATCAAAGAAACATAATGTTTTTTTCTTGTTATGGGTTGAATGTAAACCTAATTATAATTAGGGTATATCTATTAAAATTGGCAGGATATAAGTTAGTCATGACTCACTTAGCTACACTGATTTAAAATGATCTCCCCTATATATGACTAAATCTGCATCCAAACCAATGTCTCATTCATGAGGCAAACATTATGAATTTTGAATTCAGTATATGCTAATCATGTCCATTTACATCAGCGTTTCTCAACCTGGGGGTCAGGACCCCTGAGGGGGTCACGAAGGGGTGTCACAGGGATCACCAAAGACCATCAGAAAGCACAGCACTTTCTGTTGATCATGAGGGTTCTTTGTGGGAAGTTTGGCCCAATTCTATTGTTGGTGGGGTTCAGAATGCTCTTTGATTGTAGGTAAATTATAAATCCCAGCAACTACGACTCCCAAATGTCAAGGTCTATTTTCCTCAAACTCCACCAGTGTCCACATTTGGGCATATTGAGTATTTGTGCCAAGTTTGGTCCAGATTCATCATTGTTTAGTCCACAGTGCTCTCTGGATGTAGGTGAACTACAACTCCAAAACTCAAGGTCAATGCCCATCAAACCCTTCTAGTATTTTCTGTTGCTCATGGGAGTTCTGTGTGTCAAGTTTGGTTCAATTCCATCGTTGGTGGAATTCAGAATACTCTCTGATTGTATGTGAACTATAAATCCCAGCAACTACAACTCCCAAATAACAAAATTAATCCTCCCCACAACTGTACCAGTATTCAAATTTGGGCGTATTGTGTATTTGTGCCAAATTTGGTCCAGTGAATGAAAATACTTCCTTCACATCAGATATTTGCATTATGATTCATAACAGTAGCAAAATTACAGTCATGAAGTAGCAACTAAAATAATTTTATGGTTGGGGGTCACCACAACATGAAGAACTGTATTAAGGGATTGCGGCATTAGGAAAGTTGAGAACCACTGATCTACACCCTTCCCCAATGCAATTTACAAGTTAGATAAAGTAAAAATAAATAAATAACACCCAAAATCATTTAGCTAAGATGGTATGCCTTTCTTAGATGATACACTTCCAGAAGTAGAATTATCTTTTTACCCCCCCCCCTCAAAATGTATTGGGGGAAGTAGTCTTAAGTGCGCCTCATGGGCTTTAACCATAGGATGTCCACTTCTGCTTTAAATGGAAGTTGAAAGAATGTTCCGGTAGAGGTCAATCCAGACCATCCAGCCAACAGACTATATGAATGCTAGGTTAGCCTTTCTTGCCCAAATGTTTGAATTTAATGTTACTAAAAAACTGTCCCTACCTGATGGGTTTTGAATATTTCTAATCTTTATTCCAACAGCTCAATACCATAATAATGACAGATTATGTCTGTTTTTTTTTTACAGTTGGAGAATTACTGAACCCATTGCTTTTGGCAAGATGGCAAAGGCAGCTGCTTTGTCTTTTCCAGTCCCTGATACAGCTAAGCAATCTGAAAGTGGCCTCTCTTGGAAGGAGATGGTTATGATTTCATGGATTCCAGTCGCAGTCTTGGGATTCATCGGAAATGGAATTGTTTCCTATTTTTTCTGGTACAGGAGAAAAACTTCTAGGTTTTTTCTGTATTTCCAGAATATCACTATAGCTAATTTTTCAGTACTTATCTACGTATTTGTATATTTTCATAGGCTTTTCTTACGGATAAGAATCAAGAACGTTTTTGAACACTTTGTGCATACAGTGCAGTTATTGGGAGACAACACCAGATTCTATCTCTTAGCAGCCATCTGTGTGGAAAGATATCTTCTTGTCTTTCGCTCAGTTTGGGTGAAGACTCGTCGGCCACAGTACACATCAGCCGTGGTGGTTAGTATTGTATGGGTTTTGGCCGGCATGGTATCCACAGTGGATCATTTGGCCTGCTCTCCAGCATTCTTCGTAACCACTTTTGAATTTGAACTTTACTGCGTATCTTTTACTGTCCTCAGGATAATTCTCGAGATAGGACTCATTCTCATCACCATAATCTTTTGCACTGTAGCCATTTTGAAGCAAATTCTAACACAGCCAATGCCTCCAGTAAGGCTTGATGTCACCATTGTAGCCACAGTCCTTCTGTATCTTCTAACTGACGCACCTACTAGAATTGTTTACGAGTTTTCTGTTTGGCTTGACATAGATGGGTTTGCGTTAATTCTAATGACTCAATTATTTGACACCATCAACTGTGCTGTTGTTCCGTTTATATTTCTCATTGTTGGATGTTGGAAGAAGACCTCGGATGAGCCAGTCAACCTGTTTCTTGAAAGGGCTCTGGCGTTTGAAGAAAACAGGGTAGAAGGAACACAAGGAATACAAGGAGTGCGGGCCTGAAAGCATTTCGAATTTTAGAAGCCAAATTCCTATTACACTAGTTAGCAATGGATGCCCTAAAGACATGGTTCATGATGTATATCAATTAAACACTCATTTTTCTGTATTCTCTGTTATTACTGTCAATACTGTAAAATACTAGCACAATTTTTCATCAACTATGCTTTTATTCTGCGTACTTTGAATTTTGTCCTATGTGAAATGCATTTCATTTTATATTGAGCTAGGTTCTGAAATGCAGTTAAACTCTTCAAGGTATTTGTGCTCATCACAAGGAGGCGGTCACTTGTGCATTTGAAGACAGGACAAACTTTGCATCAAACAGAGGGACACATCCATGTGTTTGTTTATATAGTGGGATGATGATTCAGAAACAAAATTTAAATGGGAAATGGGAAATATATTTCACCAAAGGAAGGGTATTATCATCCCATGCCCTATGTAACTAATCAGTCTGCTAAGAATGCAGGTGAAACGTCAGGAGAAAATGCTTCTAGAACATGGCCATATAGCCCGAAAAAACCTACAACAACCCAGTCTGCTAAGTGTTGGGGAACACATTCAAGGATCCTACTCTCCTTTTTTATTCTTGATCGTTAACCTTGAAGAAAGAAGAGGTCAGAATTTTGCCACTCCCAGCAGACTCATGGCGCATCCAGAAAGCCCCTTTAACGTGGGAGCTCCCGCAATTAAAGGGGGCTGTTCAGATGGCACCCTGGACAAACCCAAATTAATTCACCACAAACCAGGAAAACCCCGATTTGTGACAAATTAATTTGTTAGTGGGTTTATTCCGCACCTTCTTGAAAGGTGTGAGATAAACCCACTACTTCTGCTGTCTGAACGGCTCCCTCAAAAGTTCTGGATGGTTTTCTAGGTGGAATTAGTTCCCCTCCCCAAAAGCCATTTAAAAAACAAAAGAACATACCCAGCCTCCGTTAGAGGGCTGCCAAAGCTTTCCTGGCACGTGGAAATGACACGTCAGGAGAAGGGGGGAGGGAGGAGGAGGAAAATCACCCCTACCCTTTCTCCTGGCACATCAATTCTATGCACCAGAGAGCTCTGGTAGCCCTCTTAGTGGAGGCCAGGTAAATTATTTTGTTTTTAAAAGGATTTGGGGGGCTTTTGGGAAGGGGGTTAGAGGCTTTGAGTGTTCTTCTGGAAAGTTCTGGGGGAACATCTGGACACCCACCCGAGAAAGCACAGGCTTTCACAGGCTTTCAAGATAAATGCCTATCTGGAAGCACCCCCAGGCAAAAATAAATTAAGTCAGCTTCTTCTGGTTTCGATGTTCTTCCTCGTTAATAATATTTACCATCTTGAACACATTCTGATATGACTTGGTTAGAAGTTTCCCAGTTTTTATCTGTGAAATGTTGTGGACAGGCTTGTAGCCAAGGGGGAGGGAGGTTAGGGGTTAAACAACCCCCCGCCCCAACATTTTTCAGTTAACTGTTAACCAAATCCCCGTGCTAAGTCTATGAGAAGCAAAAATTAAATGAGTCCCTACAGAACTGTGAGCACTATCTCAAGCAAATTTTGACAATTTATTCACACTTTTATTGCTTGCAGCAATAGCCAATATTGTGAAAGCAACAATGTTGGCCTATCCATAATGGGGGGGGGGGCATTTGAAGGCCCTCATGAAGGAGACCAGGCTTGGTGGGTGCAGTTGATGGGCAGAGCTGCAGGCTATTCATGGCTACTCCGCCCCTCTGCTGTGCTCTTTGCTTCAGCGTGAGGTAGGAGGCAGGTTCCTAATGGGAAATTAGGCCTTTCCCTCCTTGCTCCCTCTTGCATGCTTAATTTGCTTATATTAAATGACTTTTAGAGAATTGCTTGCACTATTTTGCAGCTGTTACTTTTTTATATACTTTCTTAATAAACTCATTATTTTTGTTGAACTGTGTGGTGTCCGGGTGAAAAGGGATCAAACTGGTGGCTGGGCTGCAACAACAGCTACAAATGAAAGGTTGTTTTCAACTGTTAAATGTTTGAAAACATACATAAGATGCACAATGGGGCAAGAAAGATTAACTGGGTTTGCACTCTTGAGTGTCCACCCAAGTTTATCGGAGGAGCCTGATTCCTCTCATCTGAGAAGTAGCAAAGCATGGCCTATGAACCATGTGCAATCCCTTTGGCAATTCTGTGGCCACCAGTGTCGGGACGCAATAATAACCAGGCGGGAGACAGGGTGTAGAAGTGAATGATGATGGCTTTTTTATTGTTGCCCAAGCAAAGCTTATATGGGTTCTGGTGCTCTTCAGCAAAAGTCTGCATAGCAACAGTGGGGGATTACATAATGGCCAGGTGATTGGTGGAACTCTCAAGGGTGAGGTAATCTACAGGTGAGGTCAGCTATAGGTGATGTCATCCTTCCTGCCCTCAAGGGTAATGTCCTTATATGGTCAGTGGGGTAGGAACAGTGTATGCATCTGGGGAGTACGGTTTGCCGATGCTTTCCAGTGGCATAACTGGTTTTCTATTGGTTTCCTACATCCCACCTTTTTCTGTTTGTTTAAAGGCCAGGACATATATAGGACATTATTTTGAGGCGGGGGGGAAAGGTCAGCAGAGCGTGAGGCTAGCAAGAAGCTTATAACAATGGGATATGTATCAAATGTAGCAGTAGCAGATTATTACATAAGTAATCAATAGTTGTGTAGAGTAAACAAATTGGATAATAAAAGTTTTATCAAGCAGGTACAATGTTTTGCTTAATATGTTAAGCTAAGTCTTAAAAAAAGCAACATGCATAAATATTTTGTTGAAGTTATTTGTGAGATTTGAAACAACACATAGAATTGACTGGAGGGTGAATGGGATTTTGGAGGCCTTGGTGTCACGTCATCTTTCCAGGGGCAAATGTAGCGAGCAGGAACCCAAAGCGCTTGATTTAAGAAGCCAATGACAGAGAATGTGTGTTTAAACAACTTTTGTCAAAAAGCAAGTCGTGTTTGTTAAAGTCCATAGGTTTATGACAGCTGAAGCAGGAACTCAAATCGGCCCGTCACAGCAGTATTTTTGACTTCAGGCGATGAGGGGAGCTGGGCCTTCTCACTCCGGATCTGGCAACCTGTATCAAGGGAGGAGGAGGAGGAGGGAGAGGGGTGGAGGTTTGGAAATACTTCTGGATCCTGGTAATGAAAGAAGAATCAGATAAAATTAAATTCAAATGATTAATGGTAAATAACACATATAGGAAGGCCATTGCTGGAAAGCTGTTGGAAAGCGAAAGCAAAAGAGCAGCGAAGAGGCCAGGGGGCTGACTCCCCCTTTTTGTTTGTGTGTGAGAAGAAGCAGATGGTTTGTAGAGGTATGATTTGGAGCAATCTCGTTTTGTGTGGCCATCGTAGGGAATGTTAAAGATGTGGGCAGAACATTGTGAACTTAGCATTGTAATATAAGGTATGTTGTAGCAGAGATGTCTATGAATGTAAAGGTATAAAGAAAGTGGTTGATAACATATTTGGATTGTTGTCTTTTTTGTAAGGGGTTAATTAAATGTAACCAGAGAATGTGTCCATAGCAACATGAAGAGATGTGTAGGGGGGGAAATGAGGGAAAATGTGTGTTGTCTGTTTGTGAAAGTTGGTTTGTCCCAGTGTCTATGGGGTGTAGGTTAAATTGAGTTGTAAACATGTGTATTGGGGTTGGATAAAGAGTTTGTAGAATAGATCTATTGGTTATCATAAATATGTGTATAGCATGTCATGTGTCTTATTTTTTGTTATGGAAATCAGTGAGGAAAATTAGGCAAAGAGTGTAAGTGGTTGTAGTTGGAATGACCATTGTAGTTAGGAGTTTATTAACTGTGATATCTCATTTAGGATGGGGTGTTTATGAAACACCTGTTGATTGTATGTAGATATAACATTAGTAGTTGTTGGGTTAAATCTCTTAGTGTTTTAATGTTTGTGTTGATGTGTGTCTGATGTATATTGTAGTCTGTAAGTTTGTCATGACTTAGATGTGTAGGGATGGCTTTGAGACAGAATCAGAACTGTCTGTAATGAAGAGATCAGATCAATTGAACATTTTAAGATATTTAAAATGACAAAACTGAGTGTTTGAAACTCAGATCAATAGTAGGAAGCCATGTTTAACCCCTAGCATTGGGATGGTATGATTTTAAAATCTTTGGAACTGGTATAGAGTCATAAAAGAAAAAAGCAGCTTTAAGCTGTTTTTTAGGTTTAGGTAGCAATGTGGGTGGAGTCTAGAAAGAATAGACTCGACCAAGGTAGAAAATGTTGTAGTGAATTTTTGAGCCATGTTAAAATCTTTAGGGAATGTATTTTGAGCAATGTTATGGGTAAGTGGTTTTAATCTGTTGAAATATATGTGGATGAGTGAGACAATGATCAACAGTAAACCCGTTGGAAAACTTTAGTGATTGTGTAATGAGAAATGGGTAATAGGTTTTGTAGTTTGAGGATGAAAAGGCATGACTCTCATAGGGCTGTGTTTTGTTGTAGAGCAAGGATTCCGACAGTCATTAATCAATCAATCAATCAATGATTTATTATGGTCTTTGACCAGCATAGTATAAAATGGGGCATTGGTGTGTGTAAGGAAGGGAATTGTAGTTTTTAAGTATATCAGGTATAAAAGCAGAATAAAAGCAGATTAAAAACATGTTATAACATCTTATAAAAGAGACAAATTAAAAGGATAAAACAGACTAACCAATCATAAATCAAAAGGTAAACAATCATTAATCAAAAAGTCATTTTAAAAGAAACAGGAGAGGGGAGGTGTTTGTGTGTGTTGTAATTAGAGCTCAGAGCCTAGCCGTGGCTGGGATGGCTTATCTTTTTCTCTCGGAATGTAGCCCCCCTCTTTTCGGGTAGCGTGCCTGTCGGCTTGAGTCTCTCTCGCAGAGGGGAGAGATTCCCTGATGGATTTTAGTGTGTGTAAGGTATAAAGCAATAAATGTTTGATTTTTAGTATCTTTTTAGCAATTGTCTCATGAAGTAGGTATTTTAGACCTTTTA